CGATCATCATTCATTTTCTTAACTTCAAAGCAGAAACTTCAATATTTTGTTTCTTCTTATTCTTCATTCAAAACATACCCTAGTAGCAGTGTGGTAGCTTATCAATTCGAGCTTGTATTTATAAAAAAAACATTGTTATCTTCTAGTGTCTTTTCAAATTAAATACCTTCATATTCCATTATTGATCATTCAGGAATCTGCCTTAGTATCCATGTGACTACTCATCAATTCAAGCATGTATCTTGTCATCTCATGTACAAACATTTCATATGTCTTCTGATTTTAACTTTGCTTCGGAACTTCAAGAATATGTATTTTATACCATGATGAACACTTGTCTGGTTTCTTACCACAGTCAGGTATATGGGCTTGATGTCTCTTCTATCTTCAAACTCATTTACTCTATCAGATTGGTTTGTTTAGGACTCTACTTCCAATCGATGCATGAATGGTTTGTTTTTCAAGATAAGTTCTTCTTGTCTTTGTATTCTTCCACTAGCATTTCAAGTGACATGTTCATTCTCATTTTTATTGATCTCGTTGTCTTCTTGATTCAAATCTTGTTATCTCAACATGATCTGAGTCTCTTAGTAATTCCCCAGTCTGAGTATTTTTTTTTCATAGCTCTTCTTTATTTGAGTGTTAAAATTTCAACATTGATTGGTCCCACTCTTGTTTCATTTATCAACAATCACATGCTATCAGCTTGGAAAAAATAGAAGTGTTATCAAAATATTTTCATTTTCTTTTCTTTGATTTAATAGTTTTACAGCAAGGGCTTCATTTGAGAAGATTTTATACCCATATGGACATCGGCATTGGGTCATTTAAAAAGCTTTTGAACATCATTATCAACTTCAATTGCAAAATTGCTTTCTTATTTTCAAGCTTGCTTAGAAAAGTGATTAATATATCTAATACGAAAATGTATTGAGTCTATTATTGATATTTGATGATGTTATACTAAGCCATACATTTTCTTATTAAAGTAGCCATTTGCTTCTCGATCTGTTATTACTATTTGATGATTTCACAATGAAGTGTGAAATTTTTTATTCTTGAGTATTTCGACCATTCAAACTTTATTACTTCAAAAATATGAGGACATCTTCGTTGCTCCTGCATCACTTATTCTCTTTACTCTTCCATCATTTCTTGCCTCAATTCTCTCATTAGCTTCAAGGACCTTTTTTTATTTTTGAGAGATTATTTTATTTGAATTTTTTTCTCAATTTTATTATTATTTTGAAAAAATTAAAAAAATAAAATAATTTTAGAAAACAAAATGATTCCCTTTACTTTAGGCTCATTATTTAAATAAACCAACAATTCAATGAATATTAAATAAATCAAGAATTTTTATTTTTCACAAATTATAACCCTTTGACAAGTGGTACGATTGATAGATTGGTTTTGGGTTGACTTCTTAAATTTTCTAAAGTTTTAGTCATCGAGATGTCTTTCCTTTTTTGGTCCTTATAAACATTATGACATATCCCTCTATCTTGGCTTGACATTTCAATTGGATGCAGACAATCTGATACAACTAGCACATTCAATTGCTAGACCTTTTAGAGCACTTCTAATTTGGTTCTCTAGAATCTTTTATTTGTTTAATCTTCATAGACTCCTTTAGTAGAGGCAATGTAGAAATATTAGTCTAAATATAGAATTCATGAGTGCTTGTTTGAAGTTGACTATAATAGATATTTCTCAACTCCCTCAGTCAATTTTCACCGAAACTCATTATTAATTCAAACCTTGAACTTTCCCATTTCCTTGGATTTTATTAACTTTGGTTTCATTTGCCTTTATTTTGGCTTAGGTGATGGATTTGTCTCGTCATGAAGTCTTCGACTTGAAAACCATAGTCGAGCAAACACCGAATTGTCAAGTATCCAATCAATATCACAATTTGAATGTATTCTATAAATAAAGTCAGGGTTCTTGAGTTGCCTCTCTAACCAATTTCTTTAGCGGAATAGCTCTAACTTTATTACACTTACCTTGTGATGATGTTTCATCATCTTTCTAACTATTTAGATTTAAGTTTTTTAAGCTCATCGAGAAGAACCTGTTATAGTTTGGGCATCGTTGAGAGTCAGAAAATTCAATCTTTAGATTTCAATTCTCAAGCAACTAATCTAAACTAAATTCATCTAATCCATCATTTCATTTGCAAATATTATGATCATCACTGAATATACTCAACAGAAGTGAGATTTAATCAGTTTTGCAGTATCATATACAAAAGATGTCCCATTTTTTCTGCTCCTATACATACATGAATGCCTCACCTTTAATCGTTTGGTAGTGGGAGGATAATGTTTTCTTCATACCTACAAGAGAAAGGGTGTGGCATTCGAATGTAAATTTTGAAGTATGATCAAAAGTCTTTGTTTTATGAGGGTTCAATCTTGTAACTTATGAAAAGCTATAAAAGTATTTCATTATATTCATTAAACTTCAGGAAAAAAAAATTGTTTCATTGCTCTTAGTCTGAAAAGTAACATATGTTTGTTTAAACATCTTTGAAGCATACAAAAAACTAAGAAAAGACAAAAATCACATTAAGGAAACAATATGCTTCCATGCAAATTGCAACTATGCTTGATGATTAATGGACAACGATCTCCTCTTGTTCACTTGGAACGTCTCATTACTCATCGGATATATGGGTGCTCAATTGAATTACATTTGAGATCTTACCCTTTAATGCTTCATTTGGTCCCACTTTATCTATCAAATTTCATGTTAGAACTCCAATGTCGATGATTTATTTATTTTTTTCCATCAACAGTATGCACTTATCAGTGGGATGTCTCAGTGCCTCTATGTGAAAATTACAAGTACTATTTAGAGACCAAACAGGCCACTGCTGTTGGGATTAAGGGTTTATGGTATATAATGGGTATGTATTTGTATAATGTATTGAATTTTATTTTGGACTTGTATTGGAACTTTTAATTACAATTGTGTTTTGTAATGGATTGATTTTTACTTTGGACTTGTATTGGAATTTTAATTATAATTGGGTTTTGTAATGGACTATTTATTTGTGAACTTGTTTTATACTTGAAATTTTTTAGATTCGTGACTTGAATCTGCTTGGGTGATGGTAAGGATTTGGACTTTAACCTTTGCATTTATTCTCTTTAACTCATTTGGATAAAAATAAAAGGCAGTGGGTTTTGGCACAATCCAATTAAGCTTCTGATCCAAAACTTTCGAGAATTAAATTAAAGCCAATAAGTTCGTTAAATTTAATAATCCAACGAACCAATTTGAATCAACACTCCATCGAAACATCTATAATTTTAAAAATTTGAGAATTATAAAAGAGAATAATATATCATATTATTTATTAATATCTCTTATTAAACTAAAAATCTATAGTTATAAATAAGATGTTTGCTTTTAATTATGTATATGTAATAGGGATGAGTATAGGATTCGAACCTGACAAGTTTCGGCCTAATCTGATCCTATAAAATTATGATTTTTTTCTTTTGAAAGTTAGAGCAAGTGTTGTCAAATTTGGATCGCTCTAATATCATTGAATGTAACATTTAATATCGATAATTATGATTTTATTCTATACAGATGACTTGAGATGCAACTTCGATAATTATGCATCAAATTTTAAAGATTTAAGTTGTTGGTCACTTCAATAAGCTAATTTGTAACATCATGAATCCTCTAAATGTTTCAGGTCAAGTTTTACATCTTTAGATCATACTACACTTTATAGCTCATCCCTTTCAATTTACTCTATATTTAGGCGTTTCGTGTAGTAAGGAATTGGGCTCGACACTTGAAGAATCAAGAGCTTGATTTATTATTATTATTTTGGCGTAATAAACATTCCCTATTTTATTGTTTAAATTACATGTGACATTTTTATATATGTTTTAGCATTTTCTTTGATATAACTAATATTTTGAGCTAGACATATAGTTTCGCACGTTGACGGGTTTTAACCAAATATTATAAATTGTGCTTGCAAATTAAGAATATGGTGAAATAAATTTTGATAAGATAATTTTGTGTATTTTTAAATTTTAAATGTTAAATATTACATTTTGATGAAAATAATAAAATTTTAAATGTCTAATAATTGGATTGTATTCTAGGTCACTTTAATGATTAATGTTAACTTCTGAATTCGACCCCTAACATATATGTCTAGTCTATGGGGTTGCCAGCTTCTTACGATAATATATTAGTGTTGTTGAAGAACCGAGTTTATATGACATTAATGACAAAGTATGTTTGTGTTAAGAGGCATAAGACAGATAACACAAAGTATCAAATATTTAGACATCATAGGAAGAACCTCAGCCATGTCTTCTGATCTTGTTTTATGGTTTTCACAATTGATTCTCGCTCATTAAAAATGAGAAGTTTGATGAGTTTATTTCTATGAACTTAAAGGATTACATTTCAATTAATATTGTTAATCCAATTTATTAATTTGCAAAATTTTGATAATTGAAATATTTGTTTTTGCATTATTTGTTGGTCATTTTGAAGTTATCGAGATCAATTAATCTATGTTGAATTGATATTGATACGAAGTTAAATATAAAAATGAATACGCAATTATTTTTAAATTATTTATTAAATTCGTATCTATTTTTTTTGTTTATTTCTCTTTTTATTTTAATTTATATGAACATTACCAACTAAAAAAACAAAAATTTCCCCTTAAAGCTTTGGAGGGACGTTATACCAATTTAGTGACCACCTTCCCCTCTTCTTTTCAATGTTGTTGTTTTAGAAAGAATCTTTTAATTTACATATGGAGCCTTCGATACGATCTTTCCTGATCTCTTCACAAATTTAGCCGAAAGATTCTCTAATCATATTTTTGTCATTCATGTGATTACATAATTTTATATATTTATTTACATTTAATAGTAAAATTCTGAATTAGTTCTTGACTCAAAGTGAAATTGTTCTTGACTCAAAGTTTATAAACCATTTTCATCCAACGCTGGAAACCATGCATCAGACATTTTCGCAACAAATATTTAAACCTATCTCATGCTTCATACTAGTTCTCATCATCCATTTGCTTGAAAGATATGATGTCATTTCTCAATCTAGCAATCATGTTGGGAGGGTTGAATCACATCAAGAACTTTTGGGCAAGTTCATTCCATGATACTACATCACTAGGTGGCAGCGAGCTGAGCCACGACTTGGCTTTGTCACGAAGCGAGTATGGGAACAATTTCTATTCAAGTCTTCTTCGGGCACTCCTTGATGTACGAACGAATCACACACTTCCATAAATGCTTGTAAGTGTACTCTAGGGTCCTCGGTATGCATCCCATATTGCCCCATTGATTGTAACATTTGGAACATCACGAACTTCAACTCAAAGTGAGCAGCATGGATAGCTGGTCGAACAATGGCAGGATTTATGTCATCCAAATTGGGCACAACATACTCTTGGATTGCATATTTCTATCATTAGTGTTATGGTAACTTAGTTGCATCGGTTCATTGTGTAAGGGTGGAATCCTCTCGTTATTTTTCCCATTTTTGTTTGGGAGATTCTAATTATCCTCAATTGGCAATGGTAGTTCGCCATTGTTGCCCAAAACATTCTGATTCATGTTTGGATGTTGTTGATTTTGTTGTCTCCTGAGGTGAAAAGTTCTCTCTATCTCTATATCAAAAGGTGTTAAGTCCTAGTTGTTGCTGCAGGTCATGCACCAGTAATGCCTAATTAAAACTACCTATAAAAAGAATAAAAACAATGTCAATAAAAAATAACTCTAAAGTAATGGCACTAATCCCCAGCAACGGCACCAAAAACTTGATGCTACGATAAAAGATATAGCAATCACACAAGTATATGTATCATATTCAAGTAGTAAAATGGACGCAACAAGAGCGTCGAGTATCATATCCACAGAGATTAGTATTACTTTGTAGAATTGTTATGCAACAAACGTAAAATTATGTATTGTTGATGTAGGAAGCAATGTTGTAGCAATGTAATAGAAAGAAAAATAAAATAAATGAGATTATAACACAAGTAAATGAAGCAATGATTGTTTTAGACAAAGAATTATGGGATGTCAAACACTGGCATGCAATTATTTACTACTTTGTTCATTTTCAAAACTGACATTTAATAATTTCTTATATAGTTGAAAATACTGGAATGCGCAAGACTCGAGGACGTACACCTTTGAAGGAATTATACTAACTTCCTCATGGGCATCGTGTCAAAGTTTCAAGAAACGATGATGGTCAACCTATTGGTCCAGAATCACGTCTTCTAGCAGGTTACTTAGGCATAGTTGGACGTAATGTGAATCTATTACCGAACAATTATGAGTCATGGCGCGAAATGCCTAATAGTAACAAAAATCAAGCGTTGGATTTTGTTAAGGTAATAATGTCATTATAATATATACTCTATAGAAATTCAATACTAATTTATACTTACGGTGCACACTTATTTGCTGTATAGGAGAAATTTGTTTTAGGGGTCTCTGATGATTATGTGAAGCAAGCGTTAGAGAATAGATGGAGGGACTACAAGAGCTCCTTAAAGAAGAAATACTTCAATAATGATCTCAGTCTTGAAGAGAAGTTGCAAACAGTCCCACCAGAATTACTCAGGTACCAATGGGAAGATACAATCAGATTTTGGAGTTCCCAAAAAGGACAGGTATGATGTTCATAAATAGTTGTAACGAAATTAAAATCATCATTAAAAGTGGTTGTTTGACATTGTAGGACTGAGAGCATGTTGGTGTTACTAGCAGGCAACAACAAAAGTTTACTCACACAGCTGGATCGAAGAGCTTTGCTTGTATAGCTCATGAGGAGGTATTATAGATTATTGAAATAGTTTTTTGTATTCCATGTACATATTAACTCATAGTAATTACATTATGGTACATGGTAGGAAAATACATCTGGTTCTAAAGTTGGTCGAATCCAACTCTTCGACATGACACATAAGAAGAATGATGGCACTCCTATGACTGCTGACGCTGTAGAAATTATGGTATGTTTATTGGGTAGATGTTTTAAATTTACCTGATTTTATTTATATTTATACCATGACATTTTTTATTTTAATTAATTATAGTAAAAATTGAGGGAGAAAAGGGAGGAGTATCATGCTACTGCTTCGAGTCAATGTATTGTTAATGATGATGACATTGAAAACCAAACTATTAATGACGTTTTGGGTCCTGAAAGATATGGCCGGGTGCGCTGTCAAGGATCATTCGTTACTCCCACCAAATATTTTGGATCCAGTTCATCACAATACATGTCATCACAGTCTCGATCTTCCCAATTAGAAGTTGGTCGTTTAAAAGAAAAGTTGGCTGAGATGGATCAACAAATGGCTAACTTGAAAGCCGAAAATGAAGCAAGGGAAGTAGAGAGAACAATAGCGGAAGCAGCCAGAGCAGCACTGGAAGAAGAGAGAGAAGCAGTGGCAGCATAGAGAAAGGCAGCGACATCACAGAGAGAAGCAACATATCAGCAGAGATGTGAAGAATTTGAAAAATGACTCAATGATATGATGCTGATGATACAGAAAATGCAACCTCAGAATCCACCATCGTAGCCTCATTTATGTTATGAGCATTATGTGAATGTTAATGAACCGTGTTTAACTGAACTTATATTACGTTAATGAATACTTTTATTTATTATATTGTATTTGATGTTGCTTGTTATGGATATAGAGTTTGATGTTATTGTTGTTTTGTTTGTTGGATAATTGAACATGTTGAAAAAAATAGATTTGGGGTATTAAGCATAATTTTTAGAAATGTTAAATTCTGTGTTATTTAGCGGTATTTGTAACAAAAAAATACCGCAATATACCATACATTTAGCAGAGTTTGTATCCTAAAAATGCCGCTATATACAGCACCTATTACAGCGTTTACAATAAAACACCGCTAAATCTCAACATCTACTGCGTCGTTTGTGGGAAAACGCCGTGAACTTTAGCGGCGCCATTTTCAGTGGTGCTTTTTGCGACGTTTTTCATAACGCTGTAGGTGTTTTTAGCGTCGCTTAAAACGCCGCTATAAGTAAAAAAACGCCACAAAAAACCAGTTTTGCTGTAGTGGATACTCACACATATTGTGCTGGAGGGATCAAATAAGATCATCCCAACTTGGACTCTAAAGTGATCTTCCAAGCCATCATGCCCATGATAAAAGCAAGCTCCCATATAGCTATTGTCATGTTGATTTCAGCTATGCAATCGCAGTATAGGTATTCCGTCTCATCCAAAAAAGCATGGAAGGCAAAGCAGAATGCCATTAAAAAACTTCACGGCGAATGGGATGCATCTTACAACGAACTTCCAAGTTGGTTTAGGGTGGTGTGGAGGTTGAATCCTAGGATAATTGTGGATTTTGAAACCTGCCATGCATACCATAATGATCAAGTTCTTCGCGATCGATGCCAATTCTACCGGGCTTTTTGGACTTACCCACAGTGCATTAATACTGTGAAATAATACAAGCTTGTGGTCCAGATCGACGAGACTTTCTCTTGTATAAAAAATACAAGCAAGTTTTACTGTTGGCAATTGTCCAAGATGGTATTCCCAACATTCTTCCAGCTGCTTTTGCCCTTGTTGAAGGAGAAGATACAAATTCTTGGGTTTTTTTCCTCCGAAACTTACGTTCACATGTTATCATGAGCGAAAAAATCTGTGTCATTTCACATCGCGGAGCTGTGATCAAAGTAGGAATGGAGTCTTTGGGTCCAATGTGACAACCACCCTTTGTCCAACATAGGTACTGTATCTAACACATTGTTGCAAACTACCATGGAAGGTTCAAGAAGAATAATGAGCGTCAATTACTTGTGCGCATGGATAAGTGAAACTGCTGTAGTTTTTTTCATTCAATTATTTTCATTTTTTAAAGAAACAAAGTTAGTAAGTTCTACATTTTATGCTCAGGTTACGAACTACTACCTCAAATATTTGAATCCATGCTTCAAGATTTGCGGGCACAGAACGAGTAACGATACGATTACATCATCCTGATCAATAAAGAAATGTCGACAAATGCATATGATGGTGGATATCGATATGGACACATGACGACCAACTTGGTTGAGGAAGTCAATTCGACCTTAAAGGGTGCACGTCACTTACCTGTAACGACTTTGGTAAAAACTATATTTTCATTTGGGGGCATTTTTTGCGAAGCTCGGGGGACAAGCTCAAACATGGATGCAAGGTGGTCATGTCTATCACCTTAGATTAGTTATAAATCTACAAAAAAAAATTGTTGCATCAAATGGAATGTCTGTAACAAGCTTCTCTAGAAGGCATGAATTGTTTCATGTCACAGAGTTACTGTGACCTCTTTAAGGGGATTGAAGCTAACTCGTTAAGAGTAAATATACGGGACAGATGGTGCGACTGTGGGTTTTTTCAAGCTCTGAAGTATCCATACTCTCATGTGATAGCAACTTGCTTGCATACCCGTGAAGACTATAACTGTTTTTTGGATCCGTATACCTACTATCAGAAGTGTTTAAGGTATACGAATTTGAGTTCCCCCCATAGGTAATGAGAAAGACCCTAATGAGGTTCAGAATTGGGTTTCGATTGTACCAGATCTGACTTTATTGAGGGACCGTGGTCGACCAAAATCCACTCGAATTCATTATGATATGGATATTCAAGAAACATCTAGACACGACAAAAGATGTGGGTATTGTAGAAACCCATGACGCACTAGAAGAACATGTCCACTTCTTTTGTAATCAAGTAACCATTGATGAGGAACTGATATAGTTGTTTTTATCAAATAATAGTTCATACGAGTTTAATTCACCTTTACTTAAAGTTAATGTCATTTGATAACCACTGATTAATTAAAAAAACAATACAAGAAAACGAGATTCGACGTTGGCGTTATATGTGATTATAGTAAAAGTGATAATAAGCGAAAAACTTAAGAAAGTTATCGAACATAATTATTAAATTTTATCAAACTAATAACAATTTGGTATTAAAATATAATTTTAAATACAACAAACTTTTAAAAGACAAATGTTTTTGATACATAAATTTAATATTATTATTATAAA